AGATTTGGGAGCGAGAGTCATGCAGAGTATCCCAGCCAGGCCCCTGCCCCACTTCAGGGAAACTCTTCCAGGCTGTGACAGTTTCTACGCCTGGGTTACCTCTGCAGCACAGCTCCCTGCTCTCCAGTGCTGCCCCGGTACTCCCCGATACAGACTGAGTCTGTGCAGAGCACCCCATTTCTCCAGGGTCTTCAGTCCTCTGGTCTGGAGAGATGAGGTCTTTTCTTCGCAGCAGCTGAACGCTGACCTGCAGAACTGATCCTATAGCCTAGGGCTGAAGCTAACTCCTGGACAGGGCTGATGCCAGGGCTGGACACAGGTCAGGGTCCTCCAGGGTCAGGGTCCTCCAGGCTGGCTGCGCATGCTGCTGGAAACCGTGACTGTGTTTCTAGTCTCAAGTCCCAGTAGGCTGTGTGACCTGAGGCAACACTTCCCTCTGTGGGTTAGGTTTCATATGTAGAGTGGGAAGTCTGGAGTTTGGGGCACAGGCTTCCTGGGACACATACAGTGGGTGCACATGGGTGACACAGGTGTTCCTGTAGATCAGCCCACCCGCTGACAACATAGGCCTGAGAGCGATGCTGCTGGGACCTGGGAGCTCGTCAGATATAAAGAACCAGGGCCCTCCCTGGAGGCGCAATGGGTTAGAGCACAGCACTGTGAAGCTAGCAGCAGCTGCTTCACTGCAAGTTTAATCTTCGGCCCTGGAGCTGACCCACATGGTGCAGCAGACCTCTCCTTTCTCACTCGCTGCTCCACTCAGGAGTATACTTCAGTCAATCTGCCTGTTCTGCTCCCCATTCTCTCTGGTGAGTCCTCTCACTGCCCCTCCACCTCTGGTCTATACCCCAGTTCTGTATGCATAAGTAAATAAGTCCAAAAAAAAATAAAGGAAAGAAAGAAAGAACCATAGGCCCCTAAATCAGAATCTGCATTATCACAGGTACTGGAGTACATCATAGTGTGAGAAGCACTGTCCCAAATGAGTTCCTGACAGCTTCTATGATCTATAATTTCAACAGGAGAGGGGTTGCAGGGAGGGGACTTTTGGTGAGAGGAGTTACTGATTTGCCAGTGAAACTGTCTTTACTGACCCCTGGTGACCAATTGCTCAACTCTAGGCAGCTTTCACAACTCCAGAGTTCCCAGCAGTGGTCAGGGTCATTTTTTAAATAATAACACAAATGATAGTGAGATTTGAGTCTGGTGAAGAGCAGACTTCTCTGAGACTCAGGAGCTTCTCACTATTAGATATACCCTGTCTTCACTCAGAAGAATCCTATGAACATCTGGGTCAACCTGAAGCCCTGGAAGCAGCACTTTCTGAACTTATCCTGTAAACATTTGGCCAGGGTAGCCAGAAAGTGAGAGGATAGGTGAACCTCCTGACATAGAACAGAGCAGGGTACCTAGTGATTTCCAAGTGCTGGAACCCCAAGCCCAGTAATGCTGCTCCCTGGGATTTACATATTATTTTATTAAAGCTGTTTTGTGGATTTTGTTTGTTTTCATTTTTTTTTTTACTTTTTTTAAGTTTTATTTATTTATTTTTAAAGATGTATCTATTTTTATGTATACAGAACTGGGGACAGGCCAAAGGTGCAGGGGTGGTAAAAGGATACACCAGAGACAGAGTGGGGAGCAGAACAGGCAGATCCACAAAGTACACTGCTGAGGGGAGCAGCAGGTGAGTCAGGAGAGGTCTGCTGCACCATGTGGGTCACCCCCCTGGTGGGGTCGAACTTGTACTAACGCGGCTGTAGCTATCTTCATAGTGCTGCGCTTAACCAGTTGTGCCACCAGGGAGGGCCCTAAAGCTATTTAAAAAAAAAGGGGAGTGATGGACTTATAAAATGTACACCAATGATCACTGAGTAGTTCATCTTGTAAATCAGAGAGGCCCCTCCCTCCTGGCACAAGGGGTTAAGTCACAGCATTGTGAAGCTATCCACAGCCACTGCAGCACAGGTTCAATCCCCAAGCAGGGAGCTGACCCACATGGCGCCGCAGACCTCTCCTGTCTCCCCAGTGATGCCCTCAGTAGTGTACTTCAGTTGATCTGCCTGTTCTGCTCCCTAGTCTGTCTCTAGTGAATCCTCTCACCCCCTGCACCTCTGGCCTGCACCCCAGCTCTTGTATGTATAAATAAGTAAATCTTTAAAAATAACACAGAGAGGAAGAGAAGTCAAGATTGACTGGCAGGGGTGAGGTGGCTGCCAGAGAACTTACTACAGGGCAGGTAGATGGCTTATATGATCTATAGCTGCTAAGTGGCAGGCCCAGACCAAAACCTCAAAGGTAGAATTCAAGAATCTAAGCAATTAATAGTAGGGCTGGATGCATGAGGCAGGTGGGAGAAAGGAAAAGACAAAACAGGAAAGCGCTGAGAAGGGGCAGTCAGCCCGAAGGTGGAGGTTAACACCTGGAGGGCAACTCAGAGGTGGCCAGCTCCCTGACTTCTGCAGAGACCTCCAGGCAGGGGGCAGCAGCACCAAGGCAGACAGTGAAGAGGGGTGCTTTTTCCTTCCTTCGTTCCTCTTCCACGAGCAACAAAGTTCAGATCACATGCCACCCCTCCCTAAAAGGCCCCGGAGTTCCACAGCCAGCAGGCCCTCCTTCCTGCACCCTCCCGACTCACTCCTCCACCCCTCCTTGCCACACTCTGCCTCATCCTACCACAGGCAAAGAAAACCAGTGTCTGCTCTACTCCTTCTTTTACACCGCCTGGAATGGAGGGAGACCTGGAGCCTGAAGCTGGGGCTACAGCTTGGACCACTGGCACGAGGATCACCCTAGGAAGAGCAGAGTCACATGCTGAAGGGATCTGGGCCCCTGAATACTCTGTGAGGCCGAAAGGTCACACCAGCCTATCTTTAGACTTTTATTGTGAGAAGTAAATTTTATCTTGTTTAAGCCAATGTTTTTGGGTTTCTTCTTTGCAGACAATGTCTATTTTCGCTGATACACCACTGAGAATTGTTTGATTCCTTTCTCCCTCCCTCTGCATCTAACCACCAGTCCTTTTTGATTCTGCTTCCTTGACCTGCCCCAGATCTGTAACCTTTTCTCCATCATTACTTCTCCCTGAACTCAATCAGATTTTCTGGCCTGGAAAAGCTGCCTTTTTTCTACCTAGTCTCCCTAACTCTTAGGATTGTCCTCTCTAATCCAGTAACTCAAATACCAAATTAGTGTCCTTAGGAGAAAGTTAAGTGCATGTGTGTGCACATACACCCCCTCCACACACATATATGAAGAAAACAACAAAACAAATAATATGCCACAAGAGCGGGGACAATAATACCTATCAGTTTTTATGAAAGCAAATACGACAAAGTGGTCGTTCCCTCCACAGGGCAACGCCCTCTTGTGCCTTTTTGATCCTGCACTGAGCTGTATGTTGTTGGTGTATTTTTCCCAGCTCTTACATCCATTTATGAAGGGATGGGCCATTTGTGTCATTTTAAATGTTTATCTCAATGATGCCAGATTAGAGCTAGACTTCTGCAACTTGCTCTTCTTGTGGTTTTGTGGTCTAGCTGTTCTGATACCTGTAAACTGAGTTCATTCCTGTCACAGCCCTCTAGTGCGTGATTCAGAATGTGTGATTCTAAGAGCACAACCATTTCCACATAGATAAGCAACCAGGTTGCTTATGCTTTGTTTTGATACACAATGCTTGGCTGGTATCTTATCCAAGCATGAGCTTTCTAGGGCCTATACCTTGGAGTATAAATGCTGAGTTTTAGGGGCTGATTGTGTAGGCTGAAATGCACCCTCCAACAAGACATGGTGATGTGAGTTATTTGCAGTCTTTGCAGATACAAGTGCATAAAGGAAGTCGCTCAGGGGAGCCCTCATCCAGTTATGACTGCTGTCCTTACAAGCTGAGGAGATTCACATCGAGAGAAGGCCTTGCGAGGATGCAAGTGGACACTGGTGCTGGTCGTAGTGATGTTTCTACAACCAAGGGCCCACCAGGCCCATAGCTGGCAACCACTAGGAGAGGAGCCTGCACAGATCCTCAGAGCCTCCAGAAGAAGCACAGCCTGAGGACACCTTGCTTTTGGACTTCGTTGCAGAACCATCAACGAATACATTCCTGTGTTTTAAACCATCCAGTTTGTGGCAACTTGTCATGGCGGCCGCAGAAAACCAACACAGCACTAGAACAGAAAGTGGGGGCGCAGGATGAGGTCAGAGAGAAAACAGAGGTGCCTGAGACAGAAAGCAGAGCTGGACGGAGAGGGGCTGAGACGCTGGCCTGGGAAGAATTGAGGAAATACGACAGCAGACGACATATTAAGTTGGGGGGGGGGAGGGGACACTTGGGTTTTAGCCTGTCAGAGAAGCCGCCATTTTTCAGGGAGCTTATTTGACTCCTTCAGCCGCTGGTATCTCAATGACAGCTGCCTTCTCCTTTTCAGGGGATTCTCGAGACTCCACTCTCCGCTGTACGGATTTGCCACGCACAAGTTTTACCATTAACAGCCACAGGTACTCTGGGCTGAGTAACCTGTTTCAGTCACGCTCGACTAATCTCACCCCATCCTCACAGATGCCCCCAGAGACAGGCCTGGTATCTTCTCCTTAACAGCGATAAAGAAACGTTGAGGAACAGTGGGGTGGCGTGACCAGAGTCACCCAGACTGAAAATTTGGGGTTCCCCCGCCTTCTGGCTATAGGGCTTCACGCTACGTCAGCCTACATTACTCCAGTTTCCCAGCTGTCGCCATGGCGGCTACTCCTGTGACCCGCCCGCAGCAATGAGACGAGAGAGGCCAGCCAGGCGCTACAAGCCGCGACAAACGTGGCGTCTCCGTGTGAGGGGACACGTGGCCCCGCGGGGCCGACTCCAGGGCGGGCCGACTCGACCCACAGCTCGGCCGGGCCC